CACAGTTTCTCACCAACAGAAACTGTGGAGTGGCACTGGAACTCTTAGTCTCCTAGCTACTCTGCCTCTTAGCCCCCAGTAGTTTTCAATTTGTCATGCAACTGGACCTTAAATTATTTGAAGTGGCTGCTGGATGCCTAAACTGGTTCTAGCCTATGCTGGTTGTTGAGCATAAGCTGAAACTTGCTATAAAATCCCAGAACAGAAGGGGGGACAGGGTTAACTGAAATAACAGGAGCTGCACATAAACAGGTTCACCAACTAATGAATAGGTGTAAAATCAGTGAATGCTTATAAAGTAGCCGCTATTGCACATAAAGGTAACCATAGAAAACCTCAAAAGACATATAAACGTAAAAGTGCAGCACTAAAGGTCAATCAAAATAGATAAATACAATATTGCAAAGTGATATAGTGCCAATAATCAAGGTCAAATAAAATAATAAGTAAAAATTATAATTATAAATAAATGTCCATAAATGTGACAGTCCGTGTTAAGGTGCTAATCAATCTTATGCAATCAGCTGATTATTCAGATTATTCAGTGATGTGCCATAAGGTGTGGTAAAAATACGCACTCACTAGATGCGTATTTTAAATACGCATGTAATTTATATAGCCAGAGGTCTCCTTAAAGGTGGAATGGATGAAACAAACCAGATATGGAATCCTCTGGATACTACGTAGCCCTGCGGGTGTCTTCCAAATCTATAAAGGTGTATTAGCAATCTATTGATCGCTTGGTGCAATGCTTCCCAGGCTCCTTTAGACAAAAGTAATAAATGCACATTTTTTTACCTGCAAAAAATTGTGAATTTACAATTTTTGTCTAAAAGGTGAACTTACCCTTTAATTATTTTTTCACTTACAGTGGGCATAGAAAGGAATCACCCCCTTTAAAATAATCATATTTTGTTGCTTTGCAGTCTGAAATGAAGACAGACACAGTGTTGTTTTAACCAGCTATATTTACTCTTACAACTTATAACATCTAAGTGAAAGATATAACAACATGTCAGAAAAAACAAAACAAAAATAGAATCACTGAGTTGGAAATAGGATCACCCCCTTGTGTCAGTTGAGCCACCTTTTGCTTTAATTACAGCCTTTAGTCTTTTGGGATTTGTCTCTACTAACTTTGCACATCTAGAATTTGCAATATTTGCTCACTCTTTGTAGAACTGCTCAAGTTCAGTTAAATTTGATGTTGACCGTTTCTGGACTACAGTCTTCCACAGATTTTCAATGGGATTTACGTCTGGGCTTCAATGACTAGGCCATGCAAGAATATTCCTTTTTTCCGTCAGCTACTGTGTGGTAATTTTTGCTGTGTGCTTTGGGTCATTGTCATGTTGGAAATTAAACCTCATTTCCATTGACAACTTTCTGGCAGAGGGCAACAGATTTTCCTCAAACATTTGACAGTATTTTGCTCCATCCATGTTTCCTTCTACCCTGACAAGTGATCCAGTTCCTGCTGCAGAGAAATCCCCCATAACAGGATATTACCAACTCCATGCTTTACAGTAGTAATGGTGTTATTTGGATGGTGATCTGTATTGGCTTTCCGCTTGACATATTATTTAGTGTTGCACTTAGTAAATAACAGCTGGATAAAAGAAAAACTGTGTCTGTCTTCATTTCAGGCTACAAAGCAGCAAAATGTGATTATTTTAAAGGGCGGTGATTCTTTTCTATACCCACTGTATGTAAAGTCTATACTAGTCCATCTAATACTACCCTCTCCTGACAATGCTGCTGTTCAAGGGTGACTCCATTGCTCCTCCACAGATAGAGGAGCCACCCTAAGATTTAGTCTGTTGCTAGTTGGAATCTCCAAGTGAAAATAAAGAAAGAAAATTCCTGAAAAAAGAATAAAATGCAGCCACCACATTTAAAGTGTTGCTAAATGCACAACAGTAAAATCAGTCGGTATATGCAGTAAAGCATGCTTTCTATACTCACTGTGGAAACTAAAGGGTTAATCCTCCACATCATGTAAAAAGGCTGTTTGATCCTGACTTCTCTGATCCTCCCCTTCTTCCAGTGTCTCCTAAATATCTCCAGATAGAACAGAGGCTCGGGGGCAAGCTGCACATGCTCAGTTTGGTGTGTATTGTTAGAAATTTTTTTTTTTTCCTTGGGAGGGTGCATGTGACCAGCACAGGGCCAATCAGTACATGAGAAAAGGCACATAGCAGTTTATATAATATAAATGATGTAGCGCTCTTAAACAAATATATAAATGGGTGACCACACAGTGATGGAAACACACGTATCAGGTCCTGTGATGGATCATAAACGGTGAGTGATCTAAAGCAGGGTGACCCCCAATCCACATGGGGACAATATAAAAGTGACCCCTGGTGCCCAATGAGGGACATCAACCAATAATTAGTGAATCCCTATATGGGATCAGAGAAATATCCTCAGTGTGAATGAAGACAATATAAATGGCAAAATAGTCCAATAACACAGGTCTGCGACTAAAAAGCTGTTTGATTATTTTCATCTAATTTCTATGTATTTTGGTGTGCTGAAAACAAATAAAATATTGAAAAAACTCCTAGACGTCATGATTTGCCACAAAATGCAAAATTGTCTTCAAATTTATAAAAATTTTTGGTATTTTTTTCATATTATGGGGTTTTAACCAAATTTAAAGTCCAAATTACTATTAATTAATCCACATAAGTGCATTTAAGATATAAAATGCCAAAAAAATCTTAAAGGGGTTGTCCGAGTTATGTAAAAAAAAATATAGCACTGTAAATCTGATGGTCAGCAATATCTACATAAGCTAAGCAAGTTTTAGGGAAAAAAAATTCTATTTCCTCATTTCCCTAGTTCTCTTCTGGCCCCTTGTTGTTATTTGCAGGTAAACAATCTCTGCCCCTCCCCCCCTGCAAAGGGGGTGAATACAAGTGCTGCTCTGAGTGACATGTCTGACTACTGGGATACTCAGCGGCATGCTGTATGTGTAAGTCTCAGCCCTGAGTCTGTGTCTAATGGTAGAAGGGGTTAATCTTTCCTGAAGAATCCAGTGGGTGGGATACCAAATACCCTTGTTTTCTGTGTCTATGGGACAGTCGAGACCGACAAAATCACTGGACCAAGAGGAGTTGGCAGGCAGGGTGCTAACAGTCGGTGAAAAAAAAATGTCCTCCGAGAAACTTTGGTACCTTCCCATAAAGTTCTTCTACCACCTCTCCACATAAAATTGGGATTGATGAAGAAATTTGTAAAATCACTTCCAAGAGATGGAGAATGCTTCAAATACTTGGTCACCAAATTTCCAGGCCTGTCGGAGGCAAAATTGAAGGATGGTGTGTTGGTCGGACCAGACATTAGAAGGCTTATAGTTGATCAAGAGTTTGTCAATACCATGACAGATCCTCAAAAAGAAGGGTGGATTGCATTTAAAGAAGTCATACAGAACTTTTTAAGCAATAACAAAGATCCTCACTACAAAAAGATCGTCCGACGAATGCTGAAAGCATTTCAATCTTTAGGTTGCCTGATGAGTTTGAAAGTGCATTTCCTCCAGTCCCACCTTGACTACTTTCCTGAAAATTTGGGAGCTGTGAGTGAGGAACAAGGTGAACGATTCCACCAAGACATTAAAGAGATGGAAAGGAGATACCAGAGAAAATGGAGCATTACAATGATGGCAGACTACTGTTGGATGCTTCAGAGAGACATTCCAGATGCTACTCACAAGCATAAATGCACCAAGAGGAGCCTCACAGGGAAGAAGAATCGAGTTTAGTATGTGTAGGTGGGCTCATTTCAGTTCAAAAAAGGATTTTCATGAAAAAATTGTAATAAAACTTTAATTTTATAAGTCTATTTCCATTTATTTTGAAGTATTGCCTTATTTAACATAGTTACCTAAATTGTCAGGAAACATGATGTCCTATGACAAAATGGAGGTCATTTTCGGATTCAGCGCACCAAAAAACATAAAGATTACGTGGAATAACCAAAACAGCTCTTGAAAAAAATTTTTTTGCAGACCTGCGTAATCGGTGTCACATTCCTCCTGGTCATGCACAAAAGGAGGAATGTGGGTGAACAGAAACACCCCGGATGTGATCCCAAATGGCTGCAATGGCCTCTCATCTCCACCCTGCGACCCAGCAGGGCCACAGAGCATATATGTATCACCTCTGGATCACCTCAGCAAACAGCACTCCTTATGGACTGGTAACTTTAAAACGACTTCCCAGGAATCAATATCCACCTTTAAAAAAATCTCCTTTTGGACCAGTAGGTTGTGTAGGTCAAATGGATGGATCATAGCTATAGTAAGCAGGTATCAAGGCATTCTCCCCATGTGCTGGGTGTAAAGCATAGGAAACAGGTGTTCCAAGATGGCGTCAAGCCGGAAGTACGTCACCACGCTGAGCCGTCGACGTGTTGCGTCACTTGACCTCAGGACTGACGAAGTCCTGTGTGGTCACCCGTTTATATATTTGTTTAAGAGCGCTACATCATTTATATTATATTTATGGTTTGTTGCCTGTTGGTATAGGATTAGATGTCAGCCGCTTTTTACCACTTACTCCTTTTTTTTTTAGATATTACATAAGAGCAGGGGCGGACTGACCATTTGGAAACTAGAACAGAAAGTTTGTTAGAACTACAGTATGCCTTACCCTCCCCTCATCTCTATAAAAAGGGGAGGTGTTTTATTGTCCACAGAGAAAACTGTGAATGAGATTAATTGATAACAGTACACTAGAGTTAGAGATCATAGATAGTAATCAGCTCACTTGATTTGTAGCAGGATCATCTTGTATTGTTTGCACACTTTGGACACATATACTACCTTATGGGAAATGAAAAACACCAAAAAGAGTCAAGTAACAGAAATTCATTGTTAGAGTGTATGTAAAAAATCTTGTGACCTGCTATACTAAATGCATATTCCAAATAATATGTATTAAATGATATTGTGAACTGCTCACACCATGCACATACCCATACAAAATGTGGTGAACAGGGGCGGACTGACCATTTGGAAACTCGGGCACTGCCCAAGGGCCCGGAGTCAGTAGGGGGCCCCATGAGATGCCTCTGGTACCTTTTTCATAGGCTTTTTTGAGTTTGGGCAAGGACACAGCGGCCCTTTGATCCCCTTTTGCCCGGGGGCCCCATGAGTTGTCAGTCCGCCCCTGCATAAGAGCGCAGGAGGACTTTCTGATTTTTTACATAGCAGTTTATATTTACTAAAATAATTGCATTTCCATGTTCTGTGTACTGTGGGAGATCAGATATAGTGAATGCAGGGTCCTGGGTTTAGTAATACTTTAAGAATGAGCAATTTTTTGGGTTTAATATAAACCTAAAGGTTAATACTAGTCATTTCAGATACCAGACAGGTAGTAAAATATAATTGTAATGGGAAAGCAGAGTTCTAAAGTTTCAAAACACTATTTAAAACAATGAATAAAATCTCTGATGTTAGACTTTAAGCAAATTACGGTGCAGAACACAGAAAAGCGGTTTTCCCTATATGATTATCTATCTATCTATCTATCTATCTATCTATCTATCTATCTATCTTTCTGTATCTAGTAGAAAACTAATCCTTGAGCATAATTTAACAGTTCAGGAGTGCTCCACTTGCTATATGTTGGAGCGTCTCCTGAGGCCAGCAGAAACTGTGCATGAATATGTAGACATGTTCCTGATAAGCAAGGCAGATGTTTTACAACTGATGTCAGTGTAAGTCGATTGCCAGTTTATTTGCCATTCCCTTAGCCGTCAGTCAGCGACAAGCTGATGTTTAAAAGTAGCTCAGCTGTCTTTAGGATAGTCTGGATCAGCTTTGGATTTAGTCCAAATGGTAAATGGAGTTCCATGCTTATCGAGGGCGGCCGCTCTAAAATTTTTTCCAGATGTCAGTAGAATGAAAATGCTGCTGCAAATGTTAAGTGTGCTTTTATAACTGTATGCGATATCTTTCCAGCATCATAAACAATATGAAAAAAGTTCATATTATGATGCTCACATTCATCTTTTAATGCAAAGCTATTCCTCTTTATAAGCATTTAACCAAACTTTATATTTTAATTATGGCCTGACATTTACATAAAATGATTCAAACATCTGATCTGATTATTTCCTGGCATAATTATGGACAGTGGCAGTAATATGCTGACAGATGCACAGGCACATAAATGCTCAGCTATCGACACTGTTATACTCAGTATTTACATTACAAAATTGGAACAATTTCACGACAGATTTAAATAGATTGTGTAGTCAGTGAAATTCTGTAAATACTGTAGCTATTTGATTAATAATCACTATTCAACTTACTGTTTTTAACAATTGACTCATGTTGTCCAGTGCTGGGATTTAATAGATTAACATACGCATTCAGAGCACACCAATCCACATTTGTGCCAGTTACCAAACTTCTCCAAAAAATAGTAAAAAATTAATTTGCACCATTGTTGTTTTCAAAGTATTAAAGTTTAAACCATGTGTGCGCATATTTATTTGAATTAAATCAAGGTTTACTAAAGTTTGTAAAATAATAAGCAGATTGATAAACAGTCGTTTATATCAACCAAGCATCCAAAAGAGTAATCAGATTGTAATTTTGCCATTGTTTGAAATTGCATTCAAATAATTAGTAACTCCAGTTTCCAGACAATTTTGTTAGCATAAAATTACTTTATCCTATACCCATGCAGCGCAAAGTAAAAGGGTCACTCAACCCCTTTTCCCTCTCGTTGACAGCATATAATTTTCTTTTGTGCCCTGCCATTCCATACAGCCACCAGGAGCAAAGTGAAATACCCAGAACTTCAGGGCATGGGTGCACATGTGACTCACTGCCCATCTTCTATGCACCAGCGCTGGTGCCTCATGATGGGCCCGGCACTGCTACATTGGGCTTTGGAAGAAATTCATAGCACTGTGTAAGCTCCAACAGGTTGGTTTGATGATTACACTCCCTTTCCACAAGCAATTTGGGGTGGGATGTAAGTGACTTTTTTACTGTTCTTGAGGGACAAAGTGAAGGGTCACTTATAATAGGAATGTTTCCTCCCATGAAATTGTGTCAACTTCGATGGTCCATGCCTGTGCATGGGAAGTTCATTTTTTTTTTACATTCTCCTACATATGACTGGGTATTAAGTTGATACAGGTTCCTTTGAAAAAGAGTGCTTTCCATGGTTTTTGCAAATCCAAATGCGAAGTATGTATGCCTATTTATGAAAAATGTATTTATTAAAAAATACAAACTGTATATACTCAAAGGGGGGGAGAATAAAAAAAAATCCAGCATGCAGCACTACTTACTCATCTTCAACAGCTAAATTCCCAGAAATGTCTCCTATGACCACAAACTGAAAATGCTGTGTAATGGCTGATGTGTTTCCAGAGCCATGCCCTTTCCCAGGGTCTATTTCTTTTAAAACAATGCCCAGTTCTGGTTTCTACTGCATTCACTTTTAACTTGCTGATCTCACTGCACCTGATGGCTCTTTCCGCAGGATCCTGTATGTTTTTGATGTGTGTTGCTGCTTATATTTTGTCCTCTTGGGTATGCATGAAATTCTTTTTCTTAAACAATGTACAGATTCTTCTAGGACCAGTTTATCTTTGGTTATAGCTGAGGCCTTTTAAATCCACCTTAAAAAAGTAAATGCCTTGCTTGCTTTAGAAGATGCAAATTGTCATTGGTCACTGCCATTCAGTCTATGATCACGATCGTTCAACCATCTCCAAATCACTTCATTTTAATTTAGCTTTCAAAGGTTAAAATTTATTTGCATTGAATCTTGTTTATCTTGTAGCTACCCAATTGATCACAGTGTCAGCTTGTAAGTTGGAGATACCTTATGTCCCACCTGCAATACAAGAAACAGTACTCTTTTTCTAAACTCTAATGGGTTGATTTACTAAAACTGGAGAATGCAAAATCTGGTGCAGCTGTGCCTGGTAACAAATCAGCTTCTAACTTCAGCTTGTTCAATTAACATTTGACAAAAAAAATGGAAGTCTTTTATAAATAATTCATAAAGTAGGCTTCCAAAACTGAAACTTGGGTTATGCTATTTGGTGAGCCAGTTTTCTTTCAATTTAAATATTGTAATTTCTAATCAAAGAAACCTTAACTTACACACCAGGCATCTGTGAAAACAATATTCATTACATTCATAGCCTATACAGTCCATGGTTCATATGACTTGTTGATGAGCATCGCTAGGACATCTGTGTGTATAATAAAATATATCAGTTTGCCACCTTGCCTGTCAAAGCATATAGGCTGGGTCATCATCATTTCTGTTTTTTTTTTCCACAGTTTAGGTATTTTTGGTGGCAGAATAGTGTACTGTGTACCTCCATTTTACTTTATTCTTCAAGACTTTGGTTCTTGGTGTACTGAAGCAATGAGAAACTGCCTTGTAGGCCTCTACACCTGCAGACTTTGCATGACTTGTGTGGCATCAATGCCTGACCTTGTTAGTATGATACTAAGGCTAATCAGTCCACTGTGATAGGAAGGAGGGGCAGCATAAGAGAGAAGGCCTATGGGATCAGGAAGTATGAATACAGCACTGTAGCCACCCCTCAAAAAAAGATTTATTTTTATGAGGCATGGCTGATTTGACAAAATCTGACTTTATAAATCCATAATGGATGATAACTTGATATATTATTATCATATACTCTTCTGTATGGTAAAACGTTGATATTTGCATGAAAACATTTAGGGTCCTCTTAGGAGACTGGGACTCTATTGAAGTTAATCAGTGGCTGCAGGTAGCAGTAGTTAGTTGAAATGTATGCAAATGATTTTTTGTCATTTTTGTAATTGACATTACTTAACAAAGAAAGAGAGAAGTGTGATTCATCACTCCAGAAAACACATCTCCACTACCCTAAAATCCAGTGGTGGCATGCTTTACACCACTGCATCCGAAGCTTTGCATTGCACTTGATGATGTAAGGCTTGGATGCAGCTGTTAGGCCATGGAAATCCATTCCATGAAGCTCTCAGCACACTGTTGTTGTTTTAATCTGAAGGCTGCACGAAGTTTGGAGGTCTATAGCTATTTACTCTGCAGACAGCTGGTGACTTCTGCGCACTGTGTGTTTCAGCATGTGCTGACCCCGCTGTCATTTTACGTGGCCTACCACTTTGTGACTGATTTGCTGTTGTTCCAAGTTGCTTCCACTTTATTATAAAACCACTAACAGTTGACCGTGGAATATTTAGTAGCAAGGAAATTGCACAGGTGGCAACCTATCGCGGTACCATGCTTGAATTCACTGAGTTCCTGAGAGCGACCCATTCTTTCACAAATGTTTTGTAGAAGCAGTCTTCATGCTTAGGTGTTTGATTTTATACACCTGTGGCTATGGAGGTAATTGGAACACCTGAAACCAATGATATGGAGGGGTGTCCCAATACTTTTGGCAATATAGTGTATATTGATATATAAAAAAAACAATATCCTTCCCTAGGGCTGTGGCGAGCCCACCTTTGTATAGAAAGGGACTGGTTATTATCCATTCCTTCAAATTAATCACTATTGTAATTCAGCTGATTGGGGCAAAGAATATGCACCACATTATATGTTGTTCTATTTATCTGGCAATGAACCTTCAAAGTTTGCAGTCAAAGTTTTCAGTCTGCAATTCACAAACTTCACAAATCCTGGGGATTAGCAGAAAAGTCATGGTAACAGCAAACCAAAACTTTATCCCGACATTTTGAAGATACAATTACTGATCATCTAAAAATGCCATTTGATTGGTTGTTGAGGCATTGACTATACTGCTTTCCAGTTCTCTGACATAGAAAGTAAGCATAAAAAAGTTTCTGGGGACTGGAGTCTTGTTGTCTATAAGTGTCCTTGGCCATGAAGCTTTGTAGAACTTATTATTTTGTTTGCTATATTCTACTATACACTATATGGTAAATTATTGTAACATCTATAATGTATTCTGATTGGTGGTTTATGGATACTGCCCAAAGTATTCAGTGTTATCTTGGTATTTAAATTCAAACAATAATAAAAGACTTTGAATTCTGTGTTTCACACCTAAATGTCTCAATTGAAATATTCCCAAAGTACTTTGTATCAGTGATGATTGGATGGAGGGTGTCGGCAAGAAATTGAGTTGTCCTAACAGAACTGACATTCAAAAGCAGCAAAATTTTATTGATTCCTAAAGGTTTCCATTACTCCTGGAACAAAAAATGGGTTAGTGCTTTTTAAAAGTAAACTAGTACTTAGAAAAATATGTAGTCTGCCACTGTTGGCTTGTAATAAAATGCTAGTGGCCTTGCCTGGCAACCTACAACATCCCTCTGCAGGGGCGGACTGACCATTTGGAAACTCGGCACTGCCCGAGGGCCTGGGGTCAGTAGGGGGCCCCATGAGATGCCCCTGGTACCTTTTTTTATAGGCTTTTTTTTTGAGTTTTGGCAAGGACACAGGGGCCCCATGATCCGCTATTGCCCGGGGGCCCCATGAGTTGTCAGTCCGCCCCTGTCCCTCTGTACAGACTTTCTACAAAAAGGCATTATAAAGACACAGATTTAGGCTATGCCAATTTTACTGGGGCCAAATTTGCACTGGCACAGCAGCCATTCATTTGAATAGGCTGCTGTACCTGCTGGAAATGCTGGAAAAGTTCCCTAAACATTTTCCGAAACCTCAGCTGCAGGGAAACATAGTGCTATGCAGTTCCAATGTATGGGGTGACATTAAAAATGTCTTAATGCCACCTCCACCCATCTACTCACATCAGGGCACTTTTGTTGTGGGTGCAGGAAAGTGTGTGATTTACAGTTCTGCATCAGCATAAACCTTGCCTAAGTTTTGGCATTTATTAACAATTGGCTATAGGAAAACTGTGCTCAATTTGGACCACTACAAAATATAAAAAATACAATGAAAAAAAGCATTCTAAAATATACTATATTGTAAGAATCAATACATTGTGATCATAACCTGCTTACAAAATAGAATTATCTGCTGTTTAAGTTAAACATTTGTTGATTTTACAATTCACTTCTCTCATGCTTCAACTTCATATTTGGATTCCTGCTTAGTTTAATAAAAACTAACACGAGGAAGTAATAGTACACTGCAACATGCCCTAAGGCAATTTATTCAAATATTGTCAGATCTTTGAATGACTGTTCAGAGTTTTAAAGTCATTTTATGGTGTTATTCTTAACACTGTTAGGTCATCCCTTGCATAATTGAACATTATAAAAGCATACATGCATATGAAATGGATCTCTTTGTAATATTGAAAATCCGTGGTTGGTCCAACTTCTCATATGTAATCGAGCTAGTAGAAGAATGAATATTATTCCCATTTGTGCTGTACTGATCATCCTTTTGTGAATGCCTATCACCTTTGTAGAGAAAGAAGTATACATTGGTATTGCGCACACATTGTGCAACTAAATAGCATGAATCTATTCATGCGTTTGATAGTGAGTGTTTTTTTTTTTTCTATGTACTACGCATGTAAAGCATGTAGATTGAAGTGGATCTAAAACCATTGTTTTTTTTTTAATTTTGGTTAGACTATGGAAGGGCTAGGGCCTCTTTTTATTGCTGCCTATGTCCCTGTAAGGGAGAGTCATCAAAAAAGAGCAAAAAAAAAAAATCCAAACAGGTTTTATCTATCTCCTACTTCAGCCAAAACAAAAAAAAATGGCTACAGATATACAGTACCTGTATCATAAATGTGAACACACCCATTTGATGTTAGTAGAGCATAAAAACCAGGTGAAAGACATTCATGTTTAAAAAAGGAATAGTGTTGGTGTTGAGAGCACGGATTAGAAGTCCATAGAGGCCAAGCAGTTCTTAATTTTACCAGGGTAATTTAAAATATGATTGGTTCTTTCTGGTTTCCAAAATTTTGGCTTTCTGTTTAATTTTTAATTGGAACCAGTTACAATCAGGGCTGTATTTGTAAAAAAAAAAAAAAGTACCTAGAAAGGGGGGGAGCGCTTCTATGTCTTGAATGTTACAACTACTATAATTGTTTTCCTTACTTTGTTTCCATCTTCCAAATGACTGGACACTTGTGGCTTAATTTTAACAAATGACCTATAGAAAAAATATGTGCATTTCAAGCATGGAGCTGTTTCTCCTTTCTTTAATTTCTTGGTCTTTGAAGTTAAATAGTAGCTGGAAATTTAAACTAGACACCATACTTCTTCCAACAGAACAGTCTAGCATCCATTTCTAACTAAAATGATTGCATTACACTAGGGGAAAAATGGATGTCATAATTTAGATGACTCAGCTGACTCCTCAATGCCAGTTTTCAGAGCTTCAGTGGTATTGGATGTTAAAGAGGGGGAAGAAGAGGGTGCATTTGCAGCTGTTGATGCCACTGTGCTAGTTTGCACTGGGGAAGAAGAGGAGGAGGATGGCAAAAGCTTGGTTATCCATTCCATCACCTCCTCTGTATGCTCTGGCTGTAAAGCACAACCCCTGCCAGAAAAGAAAGTTAGACAGACCCTGTCTATCAAAGCCTGACCATTGCTTTGGCCTGTGGATACACAACCTGCTCATCTTCTACTAGATGTACTTGGAGAACTGCTGCCTGTCCCTTTAGTTCCCCCAGGCATGATGACAATAGGGGGTTGCTATATTTTTGTTTTTGCACTTATGTCAATATGGATATTGAAGATGTGGTACTTTGGTGCCCTTGAGACTGTTGTGATTTTGTGTAGGAAACTGTAACAGAATAGTGTGCAATAACGTGTTGCTAATAAAGGGCAGTTTTGCTCTGTCACCAAGTTGACGCTGCTGATCCCCCACCAAGTAAATTAAACAACCTTATTGAAAATATAAAAATTTAAATGATAAAAAATATACCACCCCCCCAAAAAAAAAAAAAACACTACAACCCTTATTCCCAAACACCAGCCCTAACCAGCAGAGTCCCAAAGCCTTTTTCCCATGTATTATTCCGTTTTTTATTTATTTATTTATGTGTTTATTAACTGCGTAAAGACTGCCCTATAGCAGAAATACTGCTACAGGGCAGCACCTGTGAGCAAAATCACGTATATATATGTGATTTTGCAATTCCGGGTAGGGGGCACACGCATGGCACACCCTACCAGCGCTGCCATTCGCGGCCAAGGATGTTAATCACTGGGTCCCAGCCGGTAATTACCCGCTGGCGCCCAGTGATTACTGACAATTACCGATGGGGAGGAAGATTGTTTTGTTTACAAACAGTCTTCTTCCCTGTCAGCTCGGGCACACTGCTCGGGATGGCTGTGCAGAGCACAGCCATCCTGATCAGTGTGCGTACAGTAATGCACACACCCCCCACCCCCTAGTAAAACACTCCCTGCACATAGTTAATCCTTCGATTGCCCCGCACATTAACCCCTTCCTGCCCAGTGCCATTAGCACACAGTGTCAGTGCTTTTTTTTAGCACTGATCACTGTATTGGTGTCACAGGGGATGTCAGTGACACCAAGTTAGTTTCCTCCCAGTGTCAGAATGTCTGCCGCAGTCCCACTAAAAGTCACTGATCACCGCTATTACCAGTGTAAAAAAAAATCCCAGTATCTATACAGCCATTTGTAAACGCTAGCAACATGTAGCAGAATACATTTTGGCCTAAATTTATGACGAAATTTGATTTTTCCATTTTTTTTTTTACTGGACATGTTTAATAGCAAAAAGTCCAAAATATTTTTATAGCGCAAAAAAAAAAAACACACAGGCCATCAAATACCACCGAAAGAAAGCTCAATTTGTGGGAAAAAAGGACGTCAATTTCATTTGGGTTTTATGACCGCACAATTGTTAAAGTTAAAGTAACACAGTGCCATAACGCAAAAAAAATGGCCTGGAAGGGGTGTAAATCCTCAGGAGGGCAAGTGGTTAATTATAGAAAAAAAAAAAAAAATTAAACACCTCTCTTTATGCATGTTAAGACTCAAGTCTTATTTGACCTTCTTGTCTTTTACATGTACCTTATGTAAAAATTCAAATAAATACCTTAAAATTAACACATCTTCCCCAAAAAATTAGAAAAGGAGGTTGTGGTTGACACAAATAAGGTAAACCTTAAAATGAATGTTGGTGCTATTTGCTGTGAATACACATGGGACACATTTGCAATGCAATTCAAAGTGATGAATCACTTTCTGTAGCCCGCCACACTGCAATTTTTTCCAATGTAGCAGTGGCAATATTCAGCACTGTATATAGCACTGTATAGTCCTGCAGGTAGTACATTAGTACTATACACTAAAATTCACTGTCAGCTTCCCTCACTACTCAACACACACTGACTAAAGACTGTTGGGAGCAGGGGAGGACTGACCATTCAAGTTCTCGGGCACTGCCCGAGGGCCCGGAGTCAGTAGGGGGCCCCTTGAAATGCCCCTGGTACCTTTTTTATAGGCTTTTTTGAGTGTGGGCAAGGACACAGGGGCCCCATGACCCCTATTGCCCGGGGGCCCCATGAGTTGTCAGTCTGCCCCTGCTTGGGAGAGCTTACTTATAGAGGGAGAGGATCATCAAATTCTGCAAGCACCATTATTGGCCATATTCTGCCTCCTGATCACAGATCACTGAACTGCAGGGAGAAGGCGATTCTCTTTTGGCACTTAGATGAATTAATCCATTAGTTTGCTGTTCATGCAAGCAAAATTCCCTTTGTACCCAACCAAGAGGGAAGCCTGAACCTAATTTCTAGTGGTAAACTATGAGCAGAGTTAAAGGATTGCACCCAAGGTCTTTCATTGTAGAATTCCCTAGTGCTAAAAAAATTGTTTGTGTATCCAAAAAGGTTACAATCATATTTAGTCTGTCAATTGTGTTGTAGGTCACAAAATAAAGTATGAGATTTGTTGTTGTTGTTGTTGGCAACATGGTTTCTTTATTCTAGTTTTTACAAATCTGGCTCAGATGAGTTTTTAGGCTGTGAAATGTGCATTTGCTGAGTCACTTAATACTTTGAAACAACAAATAAGAAATAAACCATGTGCTAATACAGATGTTTGAATGAGAGAAGAGCTGTATATTTTCTCAGCAAGAACAAGCAAGTGACAGGCATTGAGATTTAAATGACAGCACATGACATTAGGAGTCACAATTAAAAGTCATTATGGGTTTCACAGTAACAAATTATCATTGCATGACACTCCTCAGGAAAACATTAACATGTCAATAGTTAGACAAGCAGCATGATCTATGACAAGGAAGAGCAGCTAACTTGCTTAAAGCAGCTGAATGGAAGAATACTACAGAGTATCACGCTTTATTCATAATTTTGGAAGTGTTAGAAGCCATATTCTAAAATTAGTAGAAATCAAAATAGTACAAAGAAATAAGTAAATGTTTTAGAACCTCAGAAAATGTAATAAAGCCTATTGGTCCTGCTGTGTATGGGCATAGCAGCCCATATGAAAGAAAAATATATTTGAAATATATTTTAAAATTATTCTTCCCAATTATATTGACATATATTTGAAATACTACAATTTTGGCCATATTCAATATATTTCAAAATATATTTCAATATTGGCCTCACTTAGCGGTTTGGTCATATATACCAAGTGAGAGCACAACCAGTGGACGTACACACACATTGGCTTGAAATAATAAGTTGCACAAGGTGTACTAAGAAGCATTTAATCTCTATACATCTGCACAGCACTAGATTGTAATTTAATTATATTCAC